TAACTAGTCTTAAAGAAGGAAGATAATTCCCAGCAGTGTTATCTCCAGCAGTTTTTCAGAGGAATGAAACACCAGTTTTGAGGGAAGCAGTTCTGAAAGAAGATGATTCAAGATAGAAGGAAAATGGTTCAGGAGGAAGAAAGGAACAACATCAATAAAACACATTTTTAAGAAGTTGTTGAAGTCAGGAGCCCGCCTGGAGAATGGAGGTGTTATATTTTCAAGTTGTAGTTGTTGAAGTCAGGAGCCCGCCTGGAGAATGGAGGTGTTATATTTTCAAGTTGTAGTTGTTGAAGTCAGGAGCTCTTTAATGGAGGTGTTATATTTTTAAGAAGTTGACGAAATCAGGAGCCCGCTTGGAGAATGGAGGTGTTATATTATTAAGAAGTTGTTGAAGTCAGGAGCCCGCCTGGAGAATAGAGGTGTTATATTTTTAAGTTGTAGTTGTTGAAGTCAGGAGCCCGCCTGGAGAATGGAGGTGTTATATTTTTAAGAAGTTGTTGAAGTCAGGAGCCCGCCTGGAGAATGGAGGTGTTATATTTTTAAGAAGTTGTTGAAGTCACGAGCCCGCCTGGAGAATTGAGGTGTTGTATTTTAAGAAGTTGTTGAAGTCAGGGGCCGCCTGGAGAATGGAGGTGTTATATTTTCAAGTTGTAGTCGGAGTTAGGAGCCCGCCTGCAGAACAGAGGAATGCATTTCAAAATCAAGTCAGGAGTCAGTAATGCGGAGGGTTACAACAAAAATACCCCCCAGCATGAACCCCAGCTCAGAAATCAGAAAGAAGACTACAAGAGCAAGTCAGAGATAGATGAGATTTTGTAATCCCTAGTTTAGTCTAGTTTCTTGTTTTTCTTTAGCACGGTGTAATAAGGAGGTCAAAAAGCAGTAGCAACAGTGTGCAGTAGCAGTAACAGCAAAAATGCAGTCCCATGGTAGTCCCAGCTACCAAAGCTTCCCGAACTACATTAACTCGATTCCCTTCTAGCCAGGGATATGTAGGAAACCTTTGAAGCAAAGGTTCGGTTAAATCTTTTCAAAAAGCTTCACACGGAGTATTCCAACAGGAAAAAATCGCTCGTATCCGCTCACTTTATCTTTGCACAAAAACTTTTTGTGTTTTCGGACAAAGAGGGGCAGCTGTGAGCACGTGATTTTTGCCCTATGAAAACTACTCCCAAAAATTCAAAATAAAATGGTTTTGTGTTGTTTGTTCTCAAAATGAAGTTGGCCATTCGTAAAGTTCATTCTTATTCCGGCTGGATACCAGCGAAGTTCGCGTTTTCAAGTCCTTCACAAAGAAAGAAAAGGGAAGAATTCAATCGAAGTTAAATTATCTTGACAAAATTTTGACACAAAAATAATATTTGTTTGATAGCAGGTGCACACAAATTGTCAGTTAGTTTAAAAGCTTTATTTGATGCAATTAATTCAGTAGAACCATGATGAGTAATTGGAATTTTTTTACCATCTCCCATAGCTATGCCTTCCGAACCATTATATTCTTCAATATTGGTAGGCTCTGTGGTGACATGATGAGTAGCACCAGAGTCGAGAATTCGTTGGTTGGCTGCTGCTTGTGTACCTGAAAGAAAATTTGCCTTCGCCTCTAAATGATTATGAGAATGTGACCTGCAAACATTTGCAGTGTGACCTTGTCTGTTGCATAACTAACAACGAACAGAGTTATTGGTGGAATTGTTGATTGTGTAACGCCCTTGAGCAGGAGCATTAGTACGATTGTTATAACGCCATTGTGAGTTATTGTTAGGTCGACGAACAGTGCAGTTGTTGGAATTGGTGGATTTGTTGCGAGTTACCAAAGCAACAGTAATCGAAGTGGTTTCCTTCTTCAATTCCTCATGTTTGATAAAGAGCTCATGTTCAATTAGTTTGGCATACTGATCACGTCCAACTATGCCTTATAAAAAAGACTAAGCGATCGTTACAAATATATTCCGATTAACAAGTCCGGAGTCGAATCCCACAGAGAACTAAGGCTTAACTACAATTGTTCAATATTGCTAAGAAACACAAGCTTGAATAATTTCTAAGTTATAATATTAAGATTCTTATATCTAATTAACTAAATAATTAAAGTAGTAGATTAATACTAAAGATACTACGGGTCGGAGAAAAGATTAAGGAGGTCTAGAGTTATGATTTCCCCAATTGTGAAAACCCTTTCCGCTAAGTCTTCTATGATTTCGCCTAAGTATTCTCTACCGATCATGAGCGCTCTGAGTGTCGTAATTCTCTCTTGAGTAATTACCACAATTTACTACATATATTCTTTCGAACTACGCTAGCTGGCCCTAAGTTACGGCTCACTCGGATCGCACCAAGGTTTCGTTATTCCTAATCCCACCTTTAAACACTCCATATTGATCTCTCATATACGTTAGAAGTGATGTTGTTCAACAACTACTTAAATATGCACTCTCTTCCGAGTAATACAAACGTAGTCGATTGAGAGTTCTTCAACCAGCCACAATATAAATGTAGTTGAACAAATAGAGAAATTCAACAGCTCAATTATATAAAAACATAAAAAGAATTTATCCTACAAAAGGTTCTATCAAAACTCTAGATAATAAATTAGGTATTCATAATAGTATGCATAACTACAATACTAGAATTCATAACCAATAATGGAAATAGGAAGAAGGAAGTGAAAAACTCGTAGAAGGATTCTCTGTCTTGCTCCTAGTGTGTTCTTGCCTCCTTAGGACGAATCTCTGGTCTAATGACAGTCTCTCCCTCAAAATTGATGTTTAATGACTATTTATATATGTAGAAAAAGGATCCAAATAAAAATAAACAAGTCCAAAACTAAATAGGAGATAAAATAGGCTTTAAAATCCGGAACATGCGAACACCTCGCTCTGGACTGCGCCTGGCGAGCTCAAATGCGCGAAACAATCTCGCGTCAGCCCTCGCGACGCGAGCTTAAACGCGAGAAAGTTGCCTCATGTCGCCTGACTTCTCCAATTCGTTGCTTAACTTTTGCTTCAGCTTTCATTTTTGATTTCTGCCTTTCTCTTTCTCATTTATTACTCTTCAAATTCTTCTTTTGTCAATTGTCTTTCTTTGTCTTCTTTTATAATACTCAACTTCAATCATTGTCCCATAATTAAATAATCATAAACTATTTTTGTAGTGTATAAAATACACATAAAATTTTTACTTTGCTCCTAATTTCGTCTTCAACGTATCTACACATAAAATAGACTCAATTAGGCACAAATATAGTATAGTTTAGCATTAAAGCACCTAAATTTAAGATAAGTAATGCACTAAACATATATAATTATAGTCAAACATCACATACAACTCCTTATAAGAGACGATGGAATCTCTTACTCGGATTGCAGCGAAAGTCTCACGAAAATATGGCCCTAGACCACTCAGAATTTTCACAATCAACTCATTGTTGGAGATTGAAGCACAGGCAGTGGCAAGCTCGTTGAAGAGAGAGCGCACTTCATGGAGATATTCGGTAACTAGACGGGAGTCCTTGGATAGTCGTGCGAGCTGATCGCGAAAGCTAAAGACTCACGTTTGGGACCTGTTGGCATAAGCCATGTGGAGGGAGTCCCAGGCAAGTTTAGCAGTAGAGGCAGCAGCCACAGTTGTGGCTATCGTCAGATCGACAGAAGCCATTATTGCATTCTGGATCAACTGATCTTGACGTAACCAAATGTTGTAGTTTGGATTCTCCAGTTGTCTATCATTTTGCGTAATAATTGTCGAAGGAGTGGGAGAAGAACCGTCAAGATGACCGAACAGATTTTGCCCACGCATGAGCATAGAAATCTTGGCTTTCCATGTCGCAAAGTTATGGCTGCCAACAAGCTTTATCGGCATCTGCGACACGGGATTGACCTGAACAATAACAAAATGTTGCTGCTAGTGGGGTCAGTATTTGTTACATTATGGGCCATTTTAAGTGTGAGCCTATGGTGGTAGTTAGAGGATCGGAAAAAAAGATTGGTGAGAGTCAAAAAGACTGCTCAGGTACCATATAAGAGCATGATGAACAAAAAGATAATTTTATTAAATGATGATTGAGCTGATTATATACACAAACAAGTTACAGAGTCCCGGTGAGAAAGCTCCTTCTACAGTGATAACAAACCAGAAAACAAGAAAAATAAATAACAAACTTCTCAAATGATAGAAATAAAATAACAACCTATGCACTAAAACAAAGTAGATACAATAATGTTACAAAGTAGTAGCAGTAACTCCTAATTATAAACACAAGCCTGACTATGAGCTGAACTTTCTCAAAAGCAATAACAAAAGCAATATGAAGAACATGGTAAAGAATATTGAACTATGGAGTAAGAGCTAGTTTTTTCTTCTTTTGTATATAGAATGTTTCCTGTCCTACAATGAATATGAATTCTTCTATTTATCGCTCAATTCAAGGAGACAAGATCCCCAAATCAAGCTCCCTTTTAATATGAATAAAACCTTTCTTGATGGCTGAGAATTAATGAAAAGATTTTTTGAAACAGCTGCTCATTGAATGTTGTATTTCCCAACTGGTGTCTTCCTTTCAAATCTTCGTCCTCGGTTTTGCTGTCCTCGGAACTTACCCAACACTGGTTACATGTTCGTAACTGGTGCTAGCTATTTGTTAACTCATATCTTATGTATCTTTACTTTCACGTGTCAAGTCGTTGAGCATCCACCTGTCGTTACCAATTTTATCCCATACAGATAGTCCTGATTTTGAGGAATGTAAATACGATTTGCTTTCATGCTTGGTCCAATCAATGTTTAGTAAGAAGTGGTAATTAAAGTTTATGAAATAGTGTCAGTGAGTTTGTTATAATAGTTTATGCTTGTTGAATGTATAACTTTAACATCCTATCTGCTGAAGTTTTTAATCCTGAGCTCATTTATTTTGTTAAATTTAAAAAACAGCAGGAGTTTACACCCATTCGGTAGAATATTGGAACATTAAGTTGAATCCTAACAGAAAGGGGAAAAACTGGACAGAACTCAGCTTTCAACAGAATATTTCTGCAAAATCAATAAATCTTTATTACGTGATTACAGTTCCATTAGAGTGAATACAAGGGTTAAGCTTGAGCTTAACTTGTGCAATATGAAGTCAGGAATCAGGCTGAACAATTATACTTTGATTTCCAGCTGCCTTCCAACAACAGAGACCTAAATGAAAATCTTTTTACAAGCCTCCATACGTGCGTTGTCTTCTTCCGCTATTTCTGGGCAGTATGTGTTTCAAGCTGTATGTGAAAGTTATACATGAGCTCTTTATACCTGGTGGCTGATAATTTTGGAGTTCTCTCAAGATTTGTAAAGTTGACATAGTGAAGTCCAAATCTTAGTCTATATCCATCTAGCCACTCAAAGTTGTCGAGAAGGGACCAAACAAAGTACCCCCTAACATCTGCACCTTCCCTGATTGCATTTGCCAACGAATCTAAGTAGCTATGCATGTAGTTCACTCTATGAACATCGTTCAAGGTATCCGTTATTGAAGGATTCAGATTCTCGTTCTCAGCAATTCCTGCAACATTGCCAATTATGTCATTAGTTGCATCTCAACAGATCAAATTGCGTCTCGTTTCAAGTTATTAGTTGATAAACTGCATCTCGCTTCTAAATGACAAGGATGTGAAATTTCATTTCATCTTACCATTTTCGGTGATAACCATTGGAGTATTGTTGAATCTGTCCTTCATGTACATCACAATCTTTTTCATCCCTTGTGGATACAGAAAAAGCCAGTCGACTTCAGTCTGATTCATTTAAAAGTTTGGAAAAAAAGAAAGAATTTCAGCAATGTACAAAGTGCTAGTAATAGTATGCAGAGTGGGTTAAAAGATGAGGAATACTAAAGTATTAAAGATGAGAAAACATACAGGTTGCCCAATGTAGACACCATCTTTTTCTGTAGTAACAAAATAGGAGCCCTCTGACCAAGTTTTTCCATGTTCACAGGCAGAATATAAGCAATCTTTGATATATTTAGCCGTATAATAATTGATGCCAATGAAATCTAGGCCGTAACTCAACTTGCTCAAATCATTCACTGAAAAGTCTGGCAGATTAGATCCCAGAATTTGTACCATTTCTTTAGGATATCTTCCTAATATAATAGGGTCTAAAAACCTGCGAAGGGGTACACAGTCAAAGAACATTATTTTCCTCTCTGATGCATAAGAAACCAGACTGTAGAACTGAACTACTGATACAAAAGGTTTACCAATTGACATAAAATGATCGAGCTCTCTGAGTTGCAGCTATGTCTTCTGAGGAATTGCTATAAGGTTCATACCATTGGATATCCAAAGAAATTCCAATCATGCCTCCTTGTCTTTTCTGAATAGCAGCATAAAACAGACTACGTTACTGATAATTCTATGGTCTTCTAACGAACTCACATTGTCAGGGTTGATTGAAAAGGAAGAGAGTCCCAAAGTAGTTGGGCTTATTGCTATTATAGTAATTGATAGATAGAGGAGGGAGTTTCCAAGCATAACTTTTTTCCCCTGAGAATGGTGTCCAAAAGCATAAATTTTCGAGCTGTAATTTTCTAAATATACCATTTTCCTGTTTTATTTCCGCAACAATTATACTGGGTTGTTGTTATTTCCGCCACAATTGCTAGACACTTATGATGATATCTTGTTTTCCCTAATGCTCCTTCTAATTTTGGACTAAAGAGGTAATCCTTATTTGGATTAATTCTGCTACATCATGTCATGTTGAGTGTTGACATGGCGATGGGGAAAGGGGATAGAGCCATCAAAAGAACCTGATATCTTGTGCGGTAAATGCTGACAGCAGCTGCATGAGATAAGATCATATTATGAGCTGCAATGAAAGGCTCCCTTTCTGAATCCCCAGCACTACAATTCCCAAATATACCAGAGCATCGAGCTGGAGGGTAAATCCCCGTCCTATAGCCACGATCAGCCATGAGGTTAGGCTCATTCATGGTAACCCAGTGTTTGACTCTGTCTCCAAAATATTTGAAGCATATGTCTGCAAAATAGCTGAAATCATCCCTGAAACACAACCCCAACAACACGAGTGTAACTTGTTCATCATTATAGGGTTTTGAATGAATCTACCTTAAAGTACTAAGATAGGACCAGCTACTTACTGTATTTGTGAACTTAGCCAACCACCATATCTGTCCTCAAGTTCTTGTGGTATGTCATAATGTGTTAATGTGACAAACGGTTGGATCCCTGAATTCACAGCACATAAGTAAGTTGTCTGAGTCCAAAAATTTACTTAGCTACACTTTGGATTATCGATAGCTTAAAACTGTAAGCAAGAGAAGCAGAACCTTAAAACTGTAAGCAAGAGAAGCAGAACCGACCTTTCTGTAGGAGTGCATCAATGAGCTTATTATAGTGTTCAATTCCGGCCATATTAATATCTCCAAATATTCCCCCTGAGTCAAATTTACAATCAACAACAAAAAAAGATTGTTAATGCAAATGACAATAAGGAGTTTATTTGTTGAAGATGAAGGAAAGAGAGTAGTGACAATTATAACTTACTGGGCAGAATTCTTGCCCATGAGATAGAGAAACGGTAGCTATTCACACCCATATCTGCCATAAGCTTGACATCCTCCTGTTTTTATTTTATTACAAAATATTAGAATTCTTTGATTTCATGCTATGAACTTCTATAATTTTTGCTAATACTTAGTCTAACATTCACTCAAACTCTTCTGAAACTCCTTGACCTTTTACAAAGCCAAATCTTGTGCAACCCAGTCTTGCTATATTGCAAATCTTCCTCATCCTAAGATGGTTTGATAAGCTTTGAAAGTAGCAACAAAACATATGGGCTTATTTGCTGTGGCGAAGCTAGAAAATTTACAAAGGGTGTGCAGTATTTAATATATATATCTATAAAGAGTAACTTTTAACTTATACACACAGTATAATATTTTATATACTTAGTGTAATTTTCCGATGACTGAACACCCTTCACTCTATGTGGTTACACCACTGCTTATCTGCTTTCATATGATGTTGACAAACTAAGACCAGTGTTAACTTTAGATCCTAATTTACAAAGATAGATCTTACTGTTCTTGCCAACACAAATTAGGCTGTTGCCTTTTCTTCTCAGGATTGAGTTTCTTGAATGATGATCTCCACAAGTCACAAGTTGCGCTCAATCGTAAGTACTTCCAATCTAGTTTATTGTTGTGTGAGCAGCATTTCATAATACCCTGATAACTTTTTGGTTTTCAGTAGGCCAAAATTAGTTTTGCAAAAACCATCTGATTAACTACAATGTCCCTCACTGTAGATCCATATCAACTGGTCTGGCATTTCCCCCCAGGGAAAACTAGGTCCTCTTGTAATACATTGTCCTCTTGTAACACCTCTCCCAGCTAGACATCTTCTCTCCCTTCCAATTTTTTTTAATTTTTTTTTTATCATTTACTTACTAACCCTATCCCCGCGCCGTGGGATAAACACCTGCTTCTTCGTTATATGTCTTGGAAGGAAAGGCAGAAGTAGGGTCGGATTCATGATTCTAATTTCATTTGTGCAGAGTATTACTACACTTAACTATTTACTACCCTTTGCAATAAGAGACACGAACTTAGTATAACAATAAATTTCGTAAAATAATTCGACCAGTTCAAGTTGAAGGTAGTCGCTGCAGGTCTACCTACTGCCGCGTGCAAATATAGTAAATCTGACCCTAGGTGGAAGGGTAGCGGCCAGGTTTGAGCCCTTAAAATGCTAAGAAGCCAGTACTCCCTGTTCAAGGGGCCTATGACAGGTAAAGGAAAGCAAAAAAATCAAATCCACCTACCACATATTTTGTTATTTCATCCACAACTTTAGTAGCCCCAGTATATTCTGGTTGTGGAACAGCAAATATAGTACCACAATTATCTCACAAGTTACAAAGAAATCCTCATACAGGTAGAACAAAAGACAATGACTACATTGGATATCCCAAAAATGTACAAATATTAGCTTGTGAAAGAAAGCAGAGGGTCTCTATTGAGTTCCATTTCACATACTAGCAGTATCTAACTATCTGTTTCACAAGCCAAATAGGTAACAATATACTCCAGCATTATTCAGTCCTTATTCTTCTCAAAGCCAAATATCTAGGATATTAAAAAGAATTGCTTGTGGGGCTCATAAAAATATATTAGTAATTAATGTTTATATAAGGAATAGCCACTTGTCATATATGTCCTCACGTATTGATAAAATACTCCCTCTGTTTCAATTTATGTGAACCTGTTTGATGGGCACATAGTTTAAAAAAAATGAAGACTTTTGGAATTTGTGGTCCTAAACAAGTTAAAAACGGGCCCCGAGTATTTGTGTGGTTATAAAATCTTCTCATTAAGAGTAGAATTGTAAGTTTAAGCTAAAAGGTTTCCAAATTTAGAAAAGCTTCATTCTTTTTGGAACCGACCAAAAAGGAAATCCAAGGAAATACGTTAATGATTATACCCATAAAATATCCAAAAAGCTTCAAATTCCAGTTGTCCTTTCACCTACGTGTCTGGATCAGTTCAAAGACAGAATACTGACATTATTGCAACTTCATCAATAACAAGATACTCGTTCAAGCAGAATTCATTCACTTGTAAATTGTGAAAAATTTCAGTCTTAACTCTCGAGAGATTTCCCACAAAAAAATTTGTGAACAATTAATTCTCTATTTCCGATCAACAACCACGGGTTCTATCATCTATGTTTGCAGTAGAAATTAGTACTGAATTTAAGCTTAGAACAAAAAGTTCTCAATAATCAATTAAATTAAGTACCAAATAACGATTGTAGTGATCAACAGCAACATCTCCATTGCTCCCATCCTTAATATGACCTACAACAACACCAAAAAATATTAAATTACTACTGAAGTAAATAAAATCCGTACGTGTTGCAAGCATTGAAAGAAATTGAGATTCCAAAAGCTCACCGGCTTCATGGGTAAAAAGGTCCCAGTTATTGAGGCTCTTCCCATCAGTGAGGAAAGCTCCTTCATACTGCGGAGAAAACAAGAAAAAGTGGAACAAGGACTCAAAACCAGAAGTTCAAGAAACAAGATTGAAAAAACTGATTGAGGAAAGAAGTGCGAGAAGAACCTGATAACAAGAAGAGGCTGTTCCAAACAAGAAATTGCTTGAAGATGAAACTTGGTTTGGATTTTCTTTGAGAATAAGGTTGTTTGTCTCATGACATGACGCTATGAAACCAGAAAAGAACATGCAAATTATCGCAAACCAAGTGTGCCAAAATATTGCAGGTGCCATGTTGGAAAAGAAGATTACACAGCTTTGTTTAATGAAGGAGGAAATAAAATTCACATTCTACAGAGAAGAGGAGAACTGGTAGCTTGTACTTCACTTTCAGGTTCAGAAAAAAAAAGGGCATAAAGAAAAGCAACCTCTCAAGTTTTTAAATAGAAAAATGTACGTCATTATCTAAAGTGCCACCAATTATCTTTTATGCTGTAGTACTCTCATGTTGAAATTGGATAGCTACTCTACATTCCATGTCAACAATAAAGATTGTTTTTTTTTTTCTTCTAATTTTACAATCTCCCGGCACAAATATTAGTCAATTTAACGAACTAAATATGGGTTAAAATATTTGAAGTTTTATTCTTTGTTCTTCATATCTTTATTCTTCCGCTTAGTGGAGTATTAGAAGTAGTTAATGAGACGTTTAAAGAAAGATGAAGGTTGATCTTGACAAATATTTCTGGGGAGGCATTCAACCGTCTGGCTCAATGATCAATGAAGTTGGTATTATGTTTAAAAACTAAGGTTTACATTTTAGTAAAGACAAAAATATTAGATGATTTATTTTTTTCTCTAAGTCTTAGTGGGAAATACTTCTGCTAGCAGAAGATAATAGTATGTATATGATGGAATGATCAAGATACATACGAGGCTCAAAATCATCGTTAGAAAACATAATTTTAGGATATATTTTGTAAAAGGCATGCAAACCTTAACAAACATATAATATGGATCAGACAGAGAGTAGTTTGTGTTAAAAAAAATAAGTGAAATTATTATTGTTATTATTATTATTAAAACTAAATATTTATTATGATTTTTTGTAACATATAGTATCCCTTTGTCTCAATTTATTATATTATGTTGTTTGATTGGACATAGAGTTTAAGAAGAAGAAGAAATTGAAACTTGTAGTCTAAAATAAAAAATAAATATTTTGTGGCTATAAATCATCTTCATTGTGAATAACATGAGAGGTTTTATAGTTATTTTTAAAAATAGCACCAAATAATGTGGTTGGGAAAAATCATAAGATAATATTTAAATATCATTGAAGACGAATATGGGATTTTTTCTTATTTGCGTAAGTTTTAATAGGTGGAGTTATGAGTTATCCGATATATGTATGAGTGATAGCAGTTACACGTTAAAACCGCAAGCTGGTCAAGTTTGTATTTGGGATCGGCGGACAACCTTTTGCTTTGAATTTTATAATACTATTGACTAAATATCAAACACAAATAAATTAGGTTAATCGTTTATGTATATCATTTTATACATAATTTCGTGCTTCATCACCTTTGAGTCATCAATCAATCAGGATAAAAAAAATTTGAACCTGAGAAAAGGCCACTCTTTGATTTGTTGCAATCGTCAAAGATGAAAAGAAGTGGAAATAATCGATTCACTTCCTAATACTTTTCAAAATTTGGGTGGCACTTTAATATCGTGTTGCTGAAATAATCGTATACGTCTAGTTTTTGTGGGTTCCACTAGGAAGAATCTTGGATAATTTTATTTATATTTTAAATATTAATTTATCTATTAAAATTATTATTTATTTCATGATCTATCAAGCTTTGGTTGTAATTTCTTTCAGTACAGGCAAGCGGCACGAGAAGGCAGCCGAACAATTATGGTTCATGTAATAGGAATCATTAATTGGTAGCAGCAGAAATTTCAACATAAAGAAACTCCAGTTGTGAATAAATGAAGGTTCCTAATCCTATGACTGAAATGGCATGTTGGGGGAGCGGTTGGGTCCATGTTGCACTGTGTTAAAGAAAGTGGTGATGAGGAAGAATGGACCAAGTAACAGGTGAGAGAGTTTGTGAGATGGAATGGCACGCTCTTATAGAAGCGAGTGGGAGTTGGTGACCGAAAACAAAACGACTGTTATATGGGATTAGGAGCGGCAAACGGACGGCTGGGCGGTATATGCTTGGGGTAAAATGGGTAATGAATAAACGGATAAATTATTCGATCCGACGCATATTTAATACGGATAAACAACGGGTTAACCGGCGGATAATATGAGTTAACATATTATTCATGACTTTTTGAATATGAACATTTTTTGGAGAATTCTTAATCTCTCAAACTTGAGGAACCCCAGTTTGAAGCTTTACAAATATAAAAGTTAAACGCATTAGTTATCCAGTGATTACCCATTAGGTATTCATTTTCTAAATGGATAATATGGTTTTTAAGCATATTTGATCCATTTTTAAAAAGTTCATTATCCAACCCATTTTTTAGTGGATAATATGAGTAGTTAACTATTTTTTTTTAACCATTTTACCATCCTATATGGGATGCTTGACTTGTACGTCGCATTTGCGAAAGGGCGATAGATAAGCTTATCGCACATATATGGCATGTGCGAATTGCGACATATATGGCGCATGTAGAACGGGCTGGGTTTTAACTGCTTTTTGATGACGAAAATTATTTTTGGAAAAGTATAGGTCATGTTTTGATATTGTTTTTTTTTTCATGAGACGAAACAAAATAAGTACGAACTTTTTCTATTTTAGTCGGATATCATTTTTTTCTCATAATTAATTTAACTTGTAAAGAAAAATTTATATTTCACTTAGTATTTGGAATTTTATCTATAGGTACAAAAATAACACAATATATACCCGCTTTAGCTGGATATTAGATTTTCAAAAAGTAGTTAGAGTTTTTGAAAAAATATGTCCAAATGCAAGCAGCTCCAAATGCATTGATGGGCCGAATAGGTGTTTGGAAGATTTTGATCGAGGATATCGAATGACAAATATATTCGCTTTACTGTATACGCTAAATATCAGGGCAGAAATCTCATCCAGTGACATGTACGACACAAACGAGGGGAAAAAGATTATAATGGTTCCAATATATTAGTACATGATAATATGCAAACTTGTGCTAAAGAAGATATGATATATTAGGCTCGTGTATAATGAAGATATGAGAAAAGAATGATAGAACACAAACTTAAAGCGATGTACTGCGTAACAAAACTACATATAATTTCATTTGTCACAGGGTAAATTTTACAAATGGTCATATAACTATGATATTTTTTCACTAAAGTCATATAACTTTGTTTTCTCACACAAAATTCATAAAACTTTCACTACTTTACTCAAAAAGTCATAGTTAACCGGCAAAGACAATTCTCCGATAATTTTTTGGTATTCTACCTTTTTTTATTTTTTAAATTCAATCTAATAAATAAAAATCATAAAATTTAGAAGTACATTTACTACTTGGTTTAGAAGTATATTTCGCTATTCATAAAATTTAATTCGTAAATACTTCAGTAAGAACTTCACTGATAATTTATATTTTTGCTAGGAAAATTGATTCAATAAAAGTGTTTCTATCATATTTTTCGAACAAATAATATTTATTATTAGGTTTTAAAATAATAGTTATTTATTTGCAATAAGGATTCTAAGTGTTTATTTGTTTTGTTTCTTTTTTCGTTACAATCCAACAAACCTTTTTAGGAGTGATTTAAATTAAAAATCACACAGACATCTTTTGAATCCACGGAATACTTAGAAATAAAATAAGAGTCACCATGAAAGTAGATATTCATTAAAACTATAATTAAAGTAAATGGCAGGTAAATACTTTGTACATATCCCATTCGAGCCCTTATGCGAAATATTGATCTTCTTTTTAACTTTTAAATATAAATTTTATATTAGAAAAAATTATAAATTTAAACAGTTGCATAACATTTAGGCTTTTAAAGTCACTTAATATTTTGTCTATAAATCTTTTATTGTTTAAACTAAGTAAAAATTCCAAATATAATTTAATTGAGAAAAATATTAATTACGTAAATCCTTTTTGTGACGACCCAAAGGGGTCATCACCTATTTTTAATTGCATTTTGTACTTTCGAGGCCTTGAAAACCTCATTTAGAGTCGCCTCGATTTGTGTGCGCAGTCCAGGCGCATAACCGGAAAGTTTAAATATGAAATTCTGTGAAAAATGATAAAATTTGAGTTTAAAATGAATAAATTTGACTTCGGTTAATATTTTGGGTAAACGGACCCGGAACCGTGATTTGATGGTCTTGGAGGGTCCGTAGGAAAATATGGGACTTGGGCGTATACCCGAAATTGAATTCCGAGGTCCCAAGTCCGAGAAATGAATTTTTAAGTAAAATTACTTTCTGAAAATGTTTAAGGAATTTTGAAATGAAATCTTATTAGAAAGTGATGGTATCGGGCCCGTATTTTGGTTCCGGTGCCCGGTACAGGTCTTATATATAGTTTAAGTCATTTCTGTAAAATTTGGTTGAAAACGGAGTCTGTTTGACGTGATTCGGACCTAAATTGCTAAAGTTGATGTTTTATAAAGTTTGAGAAAAATCCTTTGATTTTGAGGTTTGATTCATTGTTTTGAAGTTATTTTGGCGATTTGATTGCACGGATAAGTTCGCATGAAGTTGTTGAGTTAGTACGTGTGTTTGGTTAGGAGCCCCGAGGGCTCGGGTGTGATTCGGATGTGTTTCAGAGGGTTTCGGACTTAGAAAATGTTGCAGGTTTCTTAGCTGTTGGGTTTCTGGTACTTCCTTATTCGCGTTCGCGGGAGTACCCACGCGAACGCGATGGGTTAATTGTTGCTGAAGGAATTTCCTTCTACGCGAACGCGTAGCTCAGGTCGCGAACGCGAGGCTTTGGGGGGATAACCCTTCGCGAACGCGGGCCTGGCCACGCGAACGCGAAGGCCAAATAGGCCTGGGTGGGGGTGGGGTAATTGTCTTACGCGAACGCGAACCCTTGGACGCGAACGCAAGGGCTCGAGGAGATTACTCTCCGCGAACGCGAGCCCGTGTACGTGAACGCGAAGGCTCATCCAGCCTGAACATCGCGAACGCGAAGTGTCAGTCGCGAACATGAAGGGCATTTTAGCCCAGTGATTTTAAAAAGGCCAAAAACAGAACACTTTCGGGGTTTTATAAAAATTTCACAAACCTCTTCTTCTCCAAAGCTCTTGGGCTATTTTTGAAGCTTCTCTTCACCATAATCTCTTGGGTAAGTAATCTTTAATTTGTTTCCTTCATTTTCCATCAACACCACTAGATTTGTAGGCCTAAAACATGTAATTAAGGGTAGAAATTAGG